TTCATCAGAGACAGAGCGGGGAACAGAACAGGCAGATTGACTGAAGTACACTTCTGAGGGGAGCAGTGGGCGAGGCAGGAGAGGTCTGCTGCGCCATGTGGGTTGCTCCTTGGCCAACTGGGGATCGAACTTGTGCTGCAGAGGTCACGAACAGCTTCATAGGTTGCGTCTTAACCCCTTTCGCCACCAGGGAGGCCCATTTTTTTGTTTTATTTTTTTCCATTGTTCTTCATTTTTATACAATATATGCTTTCTCATCTCGGTTATAGTCCCTGTGAAATTCCCACCACCAATTCACCCGTGTACCCTCACCATAGTCCCTGTGCTCTTCCCACCCCTGTTTTAATCCTACTCCCTTCTCCCCCGCTGCAGAATGTCACTGGTTTATAGTTGCTTGTTGATTTTGATTTTCACTTTATTATAATTACTTTTTTCCCCCTGATCCCTTATTTGGATCCTCTACATTACTCCTATGAGTGAGACCATCCAGTATTTTTCTTTTTCTTTCTGACTTATTTCACTGAGCATGATCCCTTCCAGCTCAATCCATGTTGCTGCAAATGGTATGAGTTTATCTTTTTGATTGCTGAGTAGTATTCCAGTGTGTATACATACCACATCTTCTTGATCCAGTCATCTATTTTGGGGCATTTGGGTTGTTTCCATAGCTTTCCTATTGTAAATAGTGCTGCTATAAACATAGGGGTGCAGGTGCCCTTTGGAATTAATGTTGTTGTGTCCTTTGGGTAGATACCTAGGAGTGGAATTGCTGGATCATATGGAAGCTACATTTTTAGCAGTTTGAGGAACCGACACACAGCTTTCCATAGTGGTTGGACCACTTTGCATACCCACCAGAATGTAGGAGAGTTCCTTTTTCTCCACATCCTCGCCAGCATTGTTGTTAGTTTTTTTGATATTGTGCCATTCTCACTGGTATAAGGTGGTATCTCATTGTGGTTTTGATTTGCATTTCCCTGATTACAAGTGATGTTGAGCATTTTTTCATATGCCTGTTGGCCATTTGCATTTCCTCTTTGGAGAAGTTTCTTTTTAGCTCTTCTGCCCATTTTTTGACTGGTTTGTTTACTTTGTTTTTGTTGAATTTCATCAGCTCTTTGTAGAACTTTGTGATCAGCACCTTATCATTAATGTTGTGTGCAAAAATTTTGTCCCAATCAGTGGGATATCTCTTTGTTTTGGTTAATGTCTCTTTTGCTCTACAGAAGCTCTTTAATTTTATATATTCCCATCTGTTTATCCTTTCCTTCACTAGCTTCGCTTTGGGGGACGTTATTGAGGTGTATGTCACATAGTATTTCACCTATTTTTTCTTCCATATATTTTATGGTTTCAGGTCTTATGTCTAGTTCTTTAATCCATTTTGAATTGATTTTTGTGCATGGCGTGAGGTAGTAGTCTAGCTTCATTTTTTTGACTCCTTACTCCTCCCAGCTGTTCTTCTGACCTGAGGCCAGGAATCTTCTTCACAGCTGAAGGTATGTGTTGGAGCCAGCTTTTACTGTCTGGTAAGGACTGATCCTGGTAAGGACTCATACCTCTTCCCAATTCCATGTTCTTTTTTTTCCATTTTTAAGAGAGGAATTTATTTTTTCATTTTTATTTTATTTTTTAATTTTATATAATTCTTACATCATTTTTCATTTTTGCACAATGTATGCATTTTCATTTTGGTTATATTCCCCATACAATTGCATCCCCCCCCTTATTTTGACCCTAGTCCTTCCTCTTCCTGCTCCTCCCCAGTGTAGTCTGGTTTATAGTTGCTTGTTGATTTTGATTTTTTCTTTGTATTAATTAGTCTTTTTCCTGGTCCCTTGTTTAGTTTTTCTAAATTCCTGCAATTCCATGTTCACTATCTTTTGTTGAACTTGAAATCAACTAAATCAATCAAATAAATCTTTTGAAAAATTATGGCAAAAGTCCCTAACCTGTGCAGTTGACAACTAAGATATGATTTGTTTTCTCTAAGTGATTGTTGAATTGTGTAGTGATGAAGGGAGGGTAGAATGCATGGTAGAATATACAGAATAAGAGCAAAAAAGAGTTGAGGGCTTACATCCTGAAGCAGGCATCTTCTTCATTTTTTCCATTGCAATCAACAGACAACAATAGTTTGTTATATTAGAAAATATTTTCTGGACCATTTTTCTGTGTTTTATTTATGACTTACTAGTTACTTGTTCAAATTGGTTTTGTTATTATTCAAATATAATGGCTTTTCTAATAGCATCTTGCTTCCATATTCTGTATTTACTAACCTTTGAATTACCATAGAAGTTTCTAATCAAATTCATCTTCACAATAAGCACTCAAAAACTAAAACATTAGTATCCCATTTATTCAGTATCTTAGAAAAACTGCTTTTCTAAATAGAATCTTTCCTTTTCAAATCCCAAGATCTTTTTAAGCCCATTTTTTCTGAAATTCTTTTGAAATATTTTAAATGTTTTCCTTCTCTCTCTCTTTTTTTTTTTTAAATAGAGGCATGCTTTATTTATTTATTTGTTTGTTTGTTTTTGTTTATACATGCACTGGGTACAGTCAGAAGTGAGGAAGGGTGAGAGAATTCACCAGAGCCAGAGCGGGGAGCAGAGCAGACAGAAGGACCGAAGTACACTGCTGAGGGGAGCAGCGGGCGGCAGGAGAGGTCTGCGCGCCATGTGGGACCCTCCTCCAGTGGCCGGGGAGCAGCCGGGGATAGAACCGGCCACCGCAGAGGCCGGTGGGCAGCTTCGCAACCCAGCGCTCAACCGTGCACCACCGGGGAGGCCCCTGTTTTCCTTCTCTTAAACTAAGAGTTTAAACTTCCTTTGCTGAGATACAACCATTTCCCTATAATGCAGAAACAACCATTCTTTGTCATCTTTTTAATTTCACTTGGTTATATCCTTAAAAGCCAAATTGCAAAATGATCTTTGTCACTGATGTGGTCATTGTACTGACTCAGCTAGCCCTGCTCCCCCTCCCCCTTTAACCTCTTGAGTGGTGTTTATTTTTTGTTGGCACTGAATCCCATTTATCAAACTGGCTTAGACTTACATATTTGGTTAGATTTTATGAGGCCAAGTGAGAAGTAAAACCCTTCACTTTTCAGAAGACTTTGTTGTGATCATATTAGGCACATGATTTTCTCATCTGGAATGTAGCGATAATGAATTCTACTTCAAGGGTCGGTTGGTAGAGGCAACAGGAAAGGCATGTATAATTGATCTGTAAGATATGCAGCACTATGCTAACTGGGAGGCTGTGGGGGCAGCAGGCAAACCTGCTGCAGGTCCTTCTGCTGCTGGAGTTCAGAGCCACTTCTGCTTCTCCTTAGGCAGCAGAAGGCAAGTTCCTCCTTCTTAGAAGTGGAGCCACCTGATTAATTCTAATAAACGTTTTTTATTTAATTAGTTTATAGTTAGATTTATTAAAAGGAACTGGCAAGAAACTAAACTAGGAGATAAACCTGAAGAAATAATCAAACATAGGAAAAAAGATTGATGCAAAAACATGTTTTTCATCATACCTCCATCCCTATTTTTCTGCAGTCAGCATAAGAAGCCATTGGCTTTGTGTCAGGAAATTCATTGCACCAAGTATTGCAGACACTGATGTGAATTTAAACTGTCATGGATACCTTTTTTTTTTTTTTAAGATTTATTTATTTATGCATACAAGAGCTGGGGTACAGGCTAGAGATGCGGAGGGCGGGGAGGGGGAGAGGATTCACCAGAGACAGAGTGGGGAACAGTACAGGCCGATTGACCGAAGTACACTGCTGAGGGGAGCAGCGGGCGAGTCAGGAGAGGTCTGCGCCATGTGGGTTGCTCCCCGGCCGGCTGGGGGATTGAACTCGTGCTGCTATGGATTGCTTCATAGAGCAGTGCTTAATCCCTTGAGCCACCAGGGAGGCCCTGTCATGGTTACCTTTCTTTGTGATTCGTTGCATACATAGATCTTTGGATGTCAGCAGTGTAAGGGTACATTGTTCTCATATGGGTCAGAAGTGCATACAGATGTTAGCAGGTAGCTGTCTTGAGTATTACAGTTTAGAGCATGGTTCCTACTTTAGGTAAATTTGAATCTAATGGAGAAAACAAGGTCTTGCAAACATTTACTCCAGATATAAATCATAAGAGGTGATTAAATAGAATTTTTAATTCAAAAAAAGAAAAACCAGATATACTGAGACTTGGTGTAGCTAGGGGAAATTTCCAAGAAAATACACTCTTCTGTTTATACAATCAGGGTTCCTGGAAAAGGGTATGATAAGGGTTGATACCGGGCTCTAGTAAATTCACTTAAATTGGACTGATTATCACCAAAACCAAAGTATACATGTAAACAAAATTACATTTTTTTCTGTTAACAATCCGATGATATAGTTATGATATATACTATATTTGTGATAATAAAATTGGTGACTCAATTACAGTCAATTTATTAGAAAGAGGGCAAAATCAATGGATTGTGTCTGTTGTACTGTATTATTTTATGTGCAGATCTGGCTAAATCTTGGATGTTTCAGATGAGGAGATCAAGAAGATGTGTATGTATACAAAAAGAAATACTACTCAGCAATCAAAAAAGATAAACTTATGCTATTTGTGGCAACCTGGATGGAGCTGGGAGGGATTATACTCAGTGCAGTAAGCCAGAAGGAGAAAGATAAATACCAGATGGTGTCACTTATCTGTGGAATATAGAGATACCCAAACAGAGGGTCAAGCTGAGAGAGGAGGCATCCAACAGAGGAGGGTGAGAGGAGGGATGAAAACTTGGGTGAGGGGGAGAGCATAACGCATTCTGGCAGAGGACTGTGGGTGCTTCGATATTGGGAAAGCTATGATGACCACACCTAAGGGGAGAAATCCTCTATTGTCAGAATATTAAGAGATGTAAAACAATGGTACTTCATTAATAAAAAAGATAAAATCTTGGATGTTTCATGTTTAGACATTAATTATTTCTCTGTCTTGTTTTCTCTTTAGGGCTGTCGGCTGCCAAACTTTTAGCTGAACATGGCACTAATGTTTTGGTCTTAGAAGCCCGTGACAGAGTTGGTGGAAGGACATATACTGTGAGGGTAAGTGACTTTAATACTTACCTTAATATAATACCTTACACAAACTAGAAGTGGAGCCATTGGACTAAAAGAGAGCTGCAGTTAAGCCATTCAAGTTCCATAGCCTTAAGCTACTCCATGAAATAAGTGTTCATTCTTTTTCTCTTCAACAAACATTGAATGAGAAATGATAGCCTCTCACTTTTGGTACCTTACATTCTAGTGAAGAAAGTTCATGTGAACAAATAACTTCAGTACAGTATCATAGTTTCCATACTTGAGACCTCAAAGAGTGTCTTGCATCTTGTGTCTCAAATGGGGTGATGTTTTGGCTGGATTCAAAGTGACTACACACATCCCCCCTTCCCCCCCCCACACCCCTTCAAAGCATCAGCTAGGTAGTGAAGAATCACTGGGCAAAGATCAGGAAAGATTGATTTACTTTCTCTCTGGGCGTGGAGGAGTGGGAGTTTGCCTACTGCTGAAGAAACAAGCAAAAAGGCTAAGTAGTTCTTTCAAAAGTCTTAAAAATCTAGGACAACAGAGGGTTAAGTTCAGAGCCCTCCAAAGTGTGCATATAGAGGGAGGTGTTGGTAAACTCCTTGTGCTTTGGGTTGGGCAATATCCTAGGACTAAGGCCTAAGAAAACTCAGCCACATTGCCTTTCAGCCCAGCTTCAAAGCTTCTCAGGCACAGAAAATACAATGAAGTTACCTAGGATTTTTAGCATCTCCAGGTGCTGGACAGGGAAGACATAAATCTTCTCTGAGAAAGATATCCCCCTCCTAGGATTCAGATTATATCTGTATTTTACAAGGAGAAAAGGCAACATGAATGAGAACTAGTGTAAACAACAAAATAGAAACAGACTTACAAGAAGTTATCACACATACACAGAGGATTTGTAACTCACCTCTATTCAATTACTAAATCATTGGGAAATGTGTCACTAAAAATGCTGGAAAAAGTATAGAATTGTATTTGAGGAGGAAAGTAAACAATTTCAGTTTATGAAAGAAGGTTTGCATATTTTTAAATAATCTGTCAGATATATGAATCTTTTTATACTTTTGTGGACTCTTTTCCCATGATGCATTCTTCCCTGTGTTTAAATTTGAATTAAGAGCCCATTTATGTGACTGATTTAAGATTTCGTCTGGGGAAAATCAGAGAATTAGGGCCAATAAATCTCAAGGTGGCTCCCTCAGTCATAACTCCCCCCATAAGCACAGATAATAACCTTTGAAACGATTGAAAAAAAAATACTTGAAAAGGATCTAGATCAGCAGGATATCCGACAGTGTTCTTTATTCTTTTTGCATGTCATTGTTGAGTTGGCCTCACCAATAATTATACAAATGGGGTTGATGAATGAAGTGAAGTGTGTATACTGGGTTGTGCCCAGTTTTTGAGTGGATGAAAAAGAATTTCCATTTCAAATTTCACATTAGAAGAGTTATGTAAGGTATATCTAAGTTCTAAAAAATAAATGTTTTTTATAAGATACAGAAAACAAAACAAAAAGTTATAGAAAACGTTTTTCACATTTGAACTAAAGTCTTCTGACTACTTTTCTCTTTCTACAGAATGAACATGTTGATTACGTGGATGTCGGTGGGGCTTATGTGGGACCAACCCAGAACAAGATCTTACGATTATCGAAAGAACTGGGTTTAGAGACTTATAAAGTCAATGTGAATGAACGACTGGTTCAGTACGTGAAGGTAAGCCTAATGTTTTGCTCCCATGACCAGTGTGGGGGAGGACATTGCATTTGGAGACACATTTGGTTTTGTTTTCAATTATTTGTTTTTTCTCAAAACAATCATAAAAATAGTCTCTAGGCTTGAAACTAATATTCTGCCTTTCTTTTCTTTCTGAAAAAATCCTTGTGGACTCTTGGAATTATGTGGTCTTCAAAGGCTGCACCTGTACTCCTAGCCCAACTAGAGTAGGGGATTAGGGATGGGAGGCTGTCAGCTTCTTTCCCTCCCTCCCTATAATACATCTGCATGGACATGGGGATGGAGGTAAGGTATCTGCAACACACACACACAGAGTCCCAAGCAACTCCTGAAACCTCTCTGTGGCAATTCTAAGGCTCCAAGTAACAAAATATTTTGAGGCCACTTTTTAAGATTTTGAATGGGTTATTCAGCCTCATTTTTAACCTGATATTTCTTAGCATGTTTTGGTAATTTTCTCTGTACCCAGCCTTGACTTTTGGAAAGTCTAGCTGGGTTGTGCCGTTTCCTACTGTTTAAACAAGAAATTGTTTAAACTAACTGCTGATATCCACTCAAACAGCAGCTGTTGCCGGTGTTATTCTTTCTCACTGAAGCCAAACATGGAGCCCCTGGAGTTTGGAAACGTGCGTTAAGAAATCAAGTTTCTGATCTGATGTTATAGCCCACTTCCTAGAACTAGCTGCCTTTGGTCAGGAGTCATTTACTCATTCTAAAACCAGAATTCCCATGCCAGTAACCACTTCATTTCTTTTTTTTTTAATTAATTTATTTATTTATACAAGAATCCGGGTACAGTCAGAAGCGCAGGAGGGTGAGAGAATTCACCAGAGCCAGAGCGGGGAACAGAACAGACAGAACAATGAAATACACTGCTGAGGGGAGCAGCAGGTGTGGCAGGAGAGGTCTGCGCGCCATGTGGGACCCTCACTGGGGCTCAGGGATCAAACTGGTGCTGCAGAGGCTGCGGGCAGATTCGCAGCCCAGCCCTCAACCGCTGCACCACCAGGGGAGGCCCAACCACTTCATTTCTAAATAGGCACTTCTACCCTGCACTCCATCCCAGGCTATAATATAATGTGGGCCTGGCACCTTAAGGAGTCTGGAGCTGAGAACATTTGTGGTATATGCAAATTGGTTTCCAATCAGTGAGATGGGGAGTCTTGGAAAAATGTGATGGTCAGCGGGGATAAGGGTGCTTGAGAGAGTCTGGCAATGACGTGAAAAAACAAACCAGTAGCCTTTAGAAAAAGCGGTTTGGATGTCAGGGGGAGGTGAGGAATGAAGAAAGTACTAAAAATTGTGCAACGCGTTTGTGTTTAGGAACACTGGCTTCAATAGGCCACAGTTAAAAAAGGGGGAAAAAACCCCTTGCTTTCCCACTTTCTCTTTTCACTGCATGGTATTTTCCTGGACAAGTAAGTGATAACAATGGTAAAGATAATAGTGCTGATATTTATTGAGTACTTTTATGTTTATTGGCACATTTATTGTAGGGAGAGAAAACAAATCCTTTGGACTCAACTATTGATTAAACAGTTTCATAAATTTACTCTCCAGTCCAACTGGGAAGAAAATGAGTCTGATGATTATCCTGGAATCTAAGCAGGCTTGTGCTTAGAATCTTCTTTCTCCCTAACAGTCAGGGGCTGAGGGATATTAATTTTCCCTGGGGGTTCACAATAAACAACTAAGTGCTTTTTACTCACAAATTCATTAAATTTTTATATCCACCCCGCTAGACAGGCATGAATATCCCCATTTTACAGAGGGGGAAACTGAGGTTCAGAGAAGTAAAATGATTTGCCAAGGCTCTAAAACTAGCACAGTCTGCCCACTCCAAATGCATGCTCTTCATGATCCCAGTGTATAGCCTCAGAATGAAAGGAGGTCCCGAATAGAAGTGTGCTGGACCTCCAATATTTCCTTGCTAAACCCAGACTCATTGGAAGAGATAGCTCACCATGTATCTCACCGAAGCCCAGCTCAGATAATGAATAGTTATTTAAAGAGTGCACATCTTTCACTGTCTTATTCTTCTGCCCCTTCATTGTGCCTTTATGTACATTTTAAAAGGGAAAATCTGGAAATTTGTACCTATGTCCTCAAACTAGGTACCTGCTAGTCTTCTAGATATCCACTCTCAAGCATGAGGGTGAGGTGGGATTTTGAAGGTGGCACCCTGCCAACTTTTGCAAGTAATTCAACTCCTCATTGTTCTTGATACAGAGGTAAGGAAGGGGGCAGTAACATGAAAAGGTGCTACTTGAGAATTCTGACTTTTCCTGAAAGTTGTTGGTGACCATGGCATGCTTGTTCAGCCTTCCTGACAGGTCTTAATGAGTTAAGTATCATTAGCTTGTGTTTTGTGATCCCTCTGGAATCTTCTAGGCTTCTTGGGGAACCCCACTTTCAGAAATGGAGTTGTGATCATTCCATACTTTGGGAGTCCTACTGCAGGCATTAGTGGAGGAGGAACTCATGGAAAAGCTTAAGCAAATGTTACATGCCCCATCAAGTGCCTAAGTAAGGAAAGAGAAACATTAAGAGTAACTTCCAAGGTCACTTTCTCTGTGGCTGCTGCTGAGACCCTTTCTTTAAGATTAGGGTGGTACATCATTGATAGTTCAGTTCCTAAGGAAAAGCACAGGTTCTGGTGGCCAGAGCTACTCAACTCTCACTGTATTTTTTCTTTCACAAAAATACAGATCTTTGCCATTTCAGGGCTATGCATGTCAACACAATAGTAATGATACTTGTTCATGATTATTGAACATGCAGCATGTGGCAGGCATAGTGCTATGACTTCTGTGTCACCTGCAGCTGGGACAATAAAAAACAAATTGAAATCATGGCCATAGTGATTGATCCCTCAAGGTCAGCTGCATTCCCATATAATGACAGCCCTAACCCTTCTTGACTGAGTTCCTAGCACGCTCCAGGCTGCCTTTACCTTCATTATCTCACCTTATCCCTTCTGGGAGAGACTATCTGTATCTATCTACTTCCATCATAGAAGGTTCATATTATTATGATAAATTCATTAATCAGTTATTAGTTTACTGGACAAGCTTCTCTGTACCAGATATTGTTACAGGCAGGACATACAATGGTGGACATATGATCAAAATTTCTGCTGACAATGGAGCTTGTGAACAAGTGGACATGTGAAAAATCACAATAAATAAATAATATTAGCTAGCATTTCTGCCTGTATCCTTCATGGATCCTGTAAATAGAATTCTTATTCTAATTCTGCTTTAGTAGATCCTGATTTCTATATAATAAATTCTTAACTGGTTTTTACAATAAGCGGGTTTTATGTCGTGCATATGATACAATTGGTGAGATTATATTTGATTTTTTAAATTAATATAAATTAATAATGTGGTATTTAACCTAAAAGGTAGATTTGAAGTTGCATCAGTTATATATGTTTAAAATGTTCTTGTTACCAGTTTTTTCCCCTCAGATTTTGTCAGTTGCTTATTTATGTAATTTTGTGAGTACAGCTTCACATCTCCACATGTTTCACTTACCTTCTACTAAAACTTCAGTGCCAATGTCATTATCAATTCTTTTCCTTTGGATGGCGTAAGTGAAGCAAGTGTCCTGAATTCCTCTTGAATTGACTGATTGATTATTTGCATTAGTAAATAATGTGCACCGTTATTACAGTCATTTGATGAGCTGAGTTTCATTGAGTTTTGGAGACTTTTTGCAGTTCCAGGTCTTGGAGAAAGAGGAGGAAATGCTTGATTTCCCCCCTTTTTTTTCTTTCAGTGTTTTCCTGCTGGTCGTAGTAATGCAGGTAGGGTGAGGGGTGTGGAGAGGGAGAACACTGTCAGAGATGGAGCAAGGCATTTTGCAGGAGCTGCTTTGAAAGAGAAATTGACATATTCATGCATTCCCTCTTTCTCCCTGTTTTCACATCCTCTCTAAATTAAAAAGCAAACAAAAAAACCAAATATACCACACATTTGTTTTTGGAGAATGGTGTGATAAAAATTTATTTAAAACAGTGTAGGCTTTACTGATAGTAATAGCTAAGCAAGCTATTTTTCCTTGTATTGATTCTGTTCTTCCCACAGCCATTTACTCACGGTTTCTATGCCAACGGCCGATAGCAAAGGCTTTTCAAATGGGTGTGTTCTGGAATACCAAGCAAATTCTTGTTGTTGCTAAGAGGTGAACTTTGTTTTAGCTAGCAGGCTGTGTTGAAAGCAAAGGATATGTTTTTTGTTTGTTTTAATGCTTGCCAGATATAATTGCATCTTTGACCCCATGCTTGTAATAGAGTATTTCTTTTGGTTTAGGGACATATATGTTAACCGCTTTTGATACCTTTCCAGGTCAACTCACAAAGTGTTTCTTTTGTCTTCAGAGAAAGTTACACTTTTTTGTTAAGGATTGATTTATTTATGCATACAAGAGCTGGGGTACAGGCCAGAGGTGTGGGGGGTGAGAGGAGTCACAAGAGACAGAGTGGGGAACAGAACAGGGGAAATACACCACTGAGGGGAGCAGCGGGCGAGTCAGGAGAGGTCTGCTGTGCTATGTGGGTTGCTCCCTGACTGGCCGGGGATCGAACTCATGCTGCAGAGGCTGCAGATTGCTTCATGGTGCGGTGCTCAACCCCTTGCGCCATCAGGGAGGCCCCTGAAAGTTATACTTTCAATCCCTCTCAGTAGGAACTTTAAACGCCAAAAGTGTTTTCAGGTCTTGTAGGGATATTGTCTGTCATGTCTTTCTCTTAATCACCTGAATTCATTCCTCCTGACTCCATCCCTAATGTGCCAACATCTGTTACCTCATTTGAGCTTCCCATTGAAGTTAGGTAGGGGTATAGTGGCTATTTACCTAATCCCACCCCAAATCTTACAGATGAGAAAAATTATGCTCAGGGTACTTGTGAACCAAAGTGAGTTTTTCCAGCTCTTGAGCCCACAGTTCTATGACTTACATTGTTCTTTATTCCC